TTCCTTTGGAGGACATTAAGGTATTTCTTTAATTCCTCAGCTGATTCAATACAAGATGAGATGGAATTTCACGATCCTGTAAGCACTGCTTCATTGAATTTCCCTCACTAAAACCCCACCTTGTGCAAGCATTTCCTCATTCTCCCACACGAGGAGATCCTTAACAATTTCTCTCCTTTGAAAGAGGTCTCCTAATACATCTTTACCCAACCAATTTAAAGGGGACAGTTTTCTTTGCTCCAAGCAATAGGTATCATCCAGTGATACCTCCAAAAGTTCACCTGGACCTCTGTTCAACCATGGTCTGTTCACCAAACTTGCCAAGGGCAGAGGATCACCATCATCCTTCTAGAAAGGCATGTTTTCTCTGGTACATAATTTCAGTGCCATACCCTACATAATATAAGAGTACCAAAGTGTGGGGTTTAAATAAGAATCTTCTGGTCTACAGGCTAAGACCCCTTAGATATGTTCTGTATGCAAATCATTGTAGCATAGAGTAGAGAAAAGTACAGAATAATAACCATTCCTGATAAATTTCAGAACACTAACTATGAGATAAGCAAAATGCACATTTCACACATTTCACTAACACTTCCTCAGTGCCTAATCATACTGTGATACTGCGATTTTAGGTTCTTTAAAATCACCTCTTTTCCCATTGAGAACTTCCTTGAATTAAAAATCTCATCCACTCTTGGTCATTAATCTTTATAACTGTAAATGCAATGTTGTTTTAAAATACTTTCCTTCAGGTTAGTGTCAAATATGTCTCACTTTGGAGTTTATGACTAAGAATAAGGAATTGAATTTCAGTTTTCTTATAGTACTTCCTTCTCAAAAAATTACCCTGATACTAGCAATAAGACCATTTCTGAGATAATAATTAAAATATTGTACTGTAAGCAGAGTGTCAGATCAGGTTGTTGGTAGATCATTTATAGTTGCATGTTTTTGTTGTAATGTCACATGCTTCTGTTGCACATATTCTAGGTATGGCCTCACATGGTAGGAAACCAGGTATAAACTGTGGACTGAATAATGAAAGGCAACATCAGAAAAAATACTAGGAGACAACTAGTTGCCTAAAGACATGTCCATTGGGAATCAACATTTACTGCAAGGATGTAGGATGACAGCAGGAAGGGTCCAAGACACATGCATTACCAACCCAAAGGCTTTTAAATCCATTCTGGGCTGGTACCAGTGGCTCAAGCCTCTAATGCTAGCCACTAGGGTCTTAGTGGCATGCCTTGTCATCACAGCCACACAGCTAAATAGGAAAATCAGGGTCCAGGTTTACTCAGACATAAAGCAAGAACCTATCTCAAAAATAACCAAAGCAAAAATGGCATGATTCAAGTGATAGAGCACCTGCCTAGCAAGCAGAAGGCCCTGAGTTCAAACCCCAGGATCGCTGGGAAAAACAAACAAAAAAAAAACTTTCTGGTTTGTATCTGAATAGGAAAAATATTTGTTAAATGTAATAAAGTGAGGTGCAAAACGTTAAGATGCCTATATAACAATGAATGTTATTACACTCAGCCTGATCTATCAAAGGAAAGTTGAATTGTTCCAGAGTAAATTGACAGTTTTCACAAATAAGTGATTTGTTGCTTTTTTTGTGTTTTTATAATAAATATTGAGTGTGCTAGACATTGTAGTGTGTATACTTAACTGATTTCTTCCAGGTCATAAATGAATGGGAAAATGTTAATTTTAGAAGCACAAAAAGTTTTGCCTCTTGCATGCTACCACATTGTCTTGAGGCCTGAAGGGTATCCATCCAGTAGAATTTGTTTTATCTAAAATATGTAACCTGCACATTTTTGGGCCAGCATATACTCAACAGCCCTTTTGTGTATTTTATTTTCATTTGTTCAACTGAACAAAAGCTGTCATACTGAATGTTAGAGGAAAGCATATTGAACACACTGTCTGTCTGGAGAAATGTGTGTTAGATATATGTCTGTAGGTAGGATGGCTATGTTCCTAGTGAAGAAAGCCATTTGGATAAAACATGGGACTCCCTGAGTCAGTGTTGTATTCTGGTCCTCAAATAACCCAGTTTTTTTTTTTTTTTTTCACTGTCTTGCCACAGGTCACAATCCTAATTCTATCCATTAATCATAACATATACCAAAAAATAGCAAAAACAACACTATTGGTGAAAAATATCACTTAGAGGTAGCAGAGCATCTTCATACAGTTGGACAACACATTTTTCTTTTTTTTCCCTTTTATTATTCATATGTGCATACAAGGCTTGGGTCATTTCTCCCCCCTGCCCCCACCCCCTCCCTTACCACCCACTCCGCCCCCTCCCTCTCCCCCACCACCCCCTCAATACCCAGCAGAAACTATTTTGCCCTTATTTCTAATTTTGTTGTAGAGAGAGTATAAGCAATAATAGGAAGGAACAAGGGTTTTTGCTGGTTGAGATAAGGATAGCTATACAGGGCATTGACTCACGTTGATTTCCTGTGTGGACAACACATTTTTCTAACAAATCCCTGTAACTCGGTAAGAGTAGGATTCCACGCCACCCTGTGATTGTTAGTGCAGTTTTGGTGGCAATTTAATCTTCCCAAATATATGTTTCTCCACAATGTATTTTCTGAAGGCAAACGTTTCTCATAAGTGTCACATCTTAAATGTCAGTGAGGAGTACAAGGTTCTAGTCTGTAAAAATGAACAAGATGTTTCTTTAGCTATCCACTAAAGCAGAGCATGTAGAGTTCAGAATCCATCCCTAATCCTTGTCTAATAACTCTCTAGAACGTAGTACTCCTTCCTTGCTGGGATAATCTGAGGTATGGCTTACTTAAAGCTGACGTAAGTTTTCTCCTCTCTGTCTGTCTTATACTTGTTAAAATAATTTTGACAAAACAGTGGCAGTCTTATGGTTGAGGGCTGGAACAGAACCATCACTTTAGGTCTAACAAGAATAGTAATAAAAGAAAAATGAATCGGTTTGGAGACTGAAGATGTTTGGAGTAAATCTGAAGAGATTGTAGGAAAGAAGTATCTAATTCATTGTGTTTTTTTTTTTATTCATATGTGCATACAATGTTTGGGTCATTTCTCCCCCCTTCCCCCCACCCCCTCTCTTACCACCCCCTGCCCCCTCCCTCTCCCCCCAACCCCGTCACTACCCAGCAGAAACTATTTTGTCCTTATCTCTAATAATAGGAAGGACCAAAGGGTTTTGCTAGGTGAGATAAGGATAGCTATACAAAAACTTGAACTTTCTGATGTTTATAGTTATCTATGAGAAAGAATACTTAATCATTGAAGGAAATTAGAAATTTTATAGCAGTGGAAAGTTCATATAAAAATTTCAAGGAAGATGTTCTTTAGCTGAATATTATAGTAAAAGTAGAGAATGTGTGATTGCCATGTCATATGTACTTTACAGGGAGAATGCTGGTCAGATCATCTTGCTGATAAGTCTTTGTTGTCTCCTACCTGAGAATTGAATCACTGTCCCCTTTTAGTAGGTGGATTAAAATGTAGGACTCTTGATCTTAGTAATGACAATTCAAACCCTTATTTTGGTCTGTCTTCCATGGTAACAGGAGATGAAACTTGAGAAGACAGTGTGGACTAATGGATAGAGTGTTGGACAGGAAGGTCAGGAACCTCTGTTCTGTTCTATTCCCAGCCTGCTACTGGGTTGCTATGTAAACTTAGATAAACCAGTTACCCTCACTGCACCTCATATTTTCCATCTGTGAACATGGAGGTAGAGACATTCTGTACTTGGCTTCTTCACAGAGATATTGTGAGAAATAGCTTACTTTGAAGAAGGTCATAGTATCTTTTGGTTAAAAAGATGCTACATAAATATGTCAGTGTCTGTATTTCCTTTGGCAACATTCTTCCCATAGCTTGGCATTATGTGAACTATCCCTCATCGGTGTTCCACAGGTTAGGTACCATTAAATAGGTGTGGTATTGCACAAAAGCTAAGAGTGGGACTATAGAGCTAGATAACATGGGTTTAGATCTCAGGTCCACTACTCACTACTACAATAACCATGGGCAATCAGTGTACCTGATTTCCTTACTTATTACATGGAGATAATGATATCACCTGTTCAAGTCGAGCGTGGTGAAGCTGCAAAGCATTTATGAACACCACTGTAAACACTGTATAAACACATGATAGGCTTTATGCCAGTGTGTGCAGTTACTATTACTACCTAGAGCAGTTCTTCATTCCTAGCATGGCAGGCAGGGTAAAGCATCCCCTCCAGTCTTGGTTTCATCTATGCCTTTCTTCCCATCATGACCGCTTGTCCTTTCTCCTGAATGCTTGTATCTCATTCTGCCACTCCTACAAGCATCTGGGCCCCAAGGATAAACTGTTAGTCATTATTAGCCATCATATCTATCATATGTGAGGAAATATCAAAAAGATAAGAAAAATCCAGATGTTTTAAACTATTCTCTAAAAAAGTCCCTGGTTTATTAACTTGAAAAAAATATGCTAACAGATTTCAGAGTACTATAAATGGATTGTGAGATGATTGACAGTATGCAGCTATCTTGATTATTATTAAAAAATAAACATTAGGAATAAATAGAACAGTAAATTTAAATGGAGTTAATTTTAACCTCCCTTGTTTGTTTTCTGTAAAGATGGCCATCAGAGAGGTCTTATATGAGGGTAGCACAAATTGATCAAATGCAACAAAGTGGAGTGGCTGGTATGTAGCTTAGTGGTAGAGCACTTGCCTGACATATATGAAGCCCTGTGTTCAGTCCTCAGTACCAAAAATAAAAAAGAAGTGGAGCATTAATCTTTTCAAAATTCTGGATAAAAATATTCATATTCAGAGGCTTATAACAAAATTATAAAAGTTTATAATTTGATGAAAACTGTTGATTAGATTTTTGTAACTTGCTATATGAGGTGTGGGATTTCAAAGATTGAATAGCGTCTAAGAGGTAATCATATGTTTCATTGATTTTTTTTTCTCTCTTTTTATCATTAGAACCAACCTACATCACAATTGATCCACCTGCGTGTGGGGAGCTATCAAACTGCACTCTGATGGAGAAGGACTGCATTTATGGTTTCAAACTTGATCACAGTGGTTGTCAAACTTGTCAGTGCAAAAACAGTAAGTAGACAGAAGACTCTTTTTTTCCTGAGGTCTAATATGATCTTGTCAAAGTATATTATGTGATTGAATGTCTTTTTTACTCCTGTTCAGACATTCCCTTGACAGCCTGAAAGAAAGGAGGGAAAGCATTATACTTAAGATAAACAAATACACAGTCATTTGAGGAAAAAGAACTAATTCTTTATTCTGGTTTTCATCTTTGTTTCATTGTGTTCACATAGTCCTTGTTGTCCACTTATATCAGGGATACATGTGAGTGGCTTTGGAGTGCATCCTCTCACCACCCATTTGGCTCTCACTAGAGCACCCTTGCCTGGGTTATCCAGTGACCCACTCCTAGGGTGTGCCATTCCACATATGGTAGCCATAAGCCTTAAAATATGCTTTACCTATATGTAGACTCCAGCCATGACTCCAGCCATGTTTCCAGGCCGTGACCTTTGAAACTAGAACAAGAATACTGCATTTCTCCTGAGGGGTGGAAGGTTAGGGAGAATGTGCCCTACATGTTTAAAATTATTACAGATTCTCTTAATTTCTCTATCAGAATAAATACCCAGTGTCCCTTTTACCATTCCTCAGGTGAAATATTTTCTAGAGTTTACTTGGCCTTTTCCATCTTCTGATACACAATGTGTCATTGTCCTTATATAAAATGTTGCTCAGAAACAAACAATACTCCGGTATTTGGTCTGGTCAGTATAGTGCTATTATAGTGATTAAGTTAGCATTAGCTCTTTGGTTTGCACAGTGTTAGTTAATACTGAGGTTATAAGCAGTTAGCATCAGTCACTAGATGCTTTCACATAGATTGCTGTTAGGTGAGTCTCATCTGTTCTGCATTGGAACACTGCAATTTTTTTAATCATATAAATGTAGGGCCTAATTTAATAAGAAATTATGCTAATAGTTTGTCATTTTCCAACTAATTGGAATATATTTTAATCTTGATAATGTGATTTTATTCTTTATGCTTCCAAGCTTATAATAAATAAGTACAACTTTTATGTCCTCATCTACATCACTGAATTAAAATAAATTGTACAGAAACAAGGATAGAGTTCTGTAGCACTATAGATCTTCCTACTCTCACTCGTCTAGTAGGGCTATGCAGCCAGAAACATGTCAGCTCCATCTCCACAAGCAGGTCTTGACACATGTGCCCTGGTGTCTTATCTGAAATGAAAACACATTACATTTGCAGTATCCTTTATTGGCAACCCCATTTGCAAAATAAACTAAAGCTGGTAGGGAGTAGGACTTTATGAACCTTCCCTGGCTCCTAGTGGTCAATGCGTTCTTTTCTAGCTGTCTTCTTCCTGAAGAATTACCAGTTGTCAAGCTGTAAGTTTAGAATCCTCTGTCCCTTTTGAATTGACATTTCGTCTATTTTCTGGAATCTCCTTCTATTCTCTGTAATCTCTCCGAAACATAGATAATGGTTCTATAATAAGCAGACTTTCTGTGGGCCACTTTGTATAATTATCCTGGCCTCAGAAGCTTGGGCTTACTTAATATAGATAGATGTTCACTTCCTGATTTATCATTTGTCTTGGGTTTGTCATTCTTCTTAGCTGTAATCATTCATCACTTTCTTTTGTAAGAATATTTTTGATAAACAAGATACAAAATAGGAATTGAGTAATTCTGTATTCTCAGTTAACATGTTACCATTATGCTATCTGCATAGTGGAGTTAGTGCTACAAGAGAGTTTATAAAACTGTCATTGTGCTTGTAGCTGATGCCATCTTTAAATTTCCAATAAGCCTCCACCCCTCTGAGGCTGTACTGCCTTCCTGCACTTAATTCTATCCAGGGAAGGGCCAATCGCTGTCCTGCACCCATATGCCTTTTAGACCTCCCTTTGGAAAGCCATGTTTGCTGGAGAATTGTCTTGGCAGACACATTTGTTTATATAAATTGCCAACCTTGTCTTTTTCACACCAAGATAATTGGTAGTTGTGTCATGAGGTGTTTATATTTCAGTCCTTCTAATGCCTCTTGAGCTACACATTCTTTCTTAATATGGGATCATGCCTAAATTTTTTCTGAACTTCTAAAAAGTCTAAAAATACAGATTCCATTGTGCCTAGTCACCTCACCCATCTAGACTTTGCTATTACAATTTTTGGAATCTGGTCATGCTTATATAAGACTCCTGTCATTTCAGGAGGAACTTTCATCATTAAATCTGAAGAAGCAGTTTTCCTTATTTGTCACTGAAGCAAATCAAAGCATATCACTGACCTTTTGCAAATCAAGACTGTTAGGAAGATCTCCACTACCTTGTCTTTGAGTTGGTGTTACACTTTGACTTTTTGAAAGAAGTATCAGTAAGACTCCATTTCACTCACATTTAGGAAAAAGTATATACAGGAGGACACTGCATTTTATTTGAATGATTTTTTAAACATAATCTTTGTTACCTATTTGTATATCTAGTCTTCTTTTTCTCCTACCCTCCCCCCTTCTTTCACCCCTGCTGTGTTGTAAGTACTGTATGAGGTGCCTAGGATACAATGATGACTAAATGCAAGACATTCTAAGAAGAAAACTCCAGTAGCTGAAACACAAATAAAATACTGCCATTTTAAGCCCAGTGCTGTAATTTACAAAGCAAATCCTGCTAAAAGGAAGCTTCAGTCTTTGAAGGAAACTTGGGCTTCTGCTCAAACAAGAGTAGGGTAGTCACTGCCTTCTCCCAAGGCACTCAGTGCTCTGCAGACTGAATGAAGGAGCAGAGAACCTTCAGCATCAGAGATACCTTTGAACATCATTCTTGTCTACAGTCCCTTTCTGCCCATGAGGTCTCACTATTCGTCATACATCCATCTCATCATATGAGTTAGTTTTGACAACTCATTTGCCACAACCCTGTATCTAAAAATGTAAACATCAGTTGAAATTTGTCAGTCTATCTGGATGGCACAAAAGTCTAAACATTTTGTTCCCACCTCCCTCACTCCTGTTAGCTATCCTGATTATTTGACAACTTTGAAAGCCACATCTTTGGAGTCAGATCCAACCAAATTGCTGGGTACTGGATTCTCAGATTCTTGGGATTGCATTCAACTTCCCTCTCAGGCTCTAGCATCAGTCTGACCTGAAAATGAGGGATTAGAATAAGTTGCTTTACTTTTCTAGGCTTCTGTGTCCTCATCTGTAGAGAACAGGTAATATTTTTTAACTGATGGGTCATTCTAAGAACTGAGTAAGTCCCCGAATGCAAAGCTAACTTCACTGCCTGACATGTGGCAATTGTTTACACACTAGCTGCTTTATAATATCCTTTTCTGAGTCAGCTCAAGCTAGCTGATGTGGAAAGCCCCCAGCTTCCCCTCCTACTTTGTCCCTGCACCATCCTGCCCCTAGTCTTCCTGTCCTTTCAGGACACTCACACCAATAACGTTTTTTGTACTTTCTCATTTTAACATTCATATGTCCTCCTCTTCTTGGTTTTAGTGAAAAAGGATGTTCCTTGTAATCAGGTAGGACATAGTATGTTCTCTGTCCCATTGTAATGGGTTGACAGTATTTATCTTGTCCAAAATTTTCCCTTAACATTATTTTTCTGCATCCCATCAAAACCTTTCTTTTAAATATATACAGTAGTCCTAACTATTCACATTGAAGTTTTCTCTTGGGGATTAGAACTAGTTCCCATTTACATGAAGATTTCTTAAAAGATCCCAGCACCAAATACTTCTCTTCATTGGTTTGTTGTTTACTCATTTTTTCACTCATCTAGTATTTGTTGAGTGCCTACTATAGGCTAAACACTTATAAGGATACAAAGAAGATGAAAATGTCTTCACCCTTGACTAATATTGGTAATATGTTAGTAATACTGGTAATATGCTAATGTGATATGATAATGCTTTTTTTTTATACATAGTCATATTAGGATTAAAATAAAAACTCTATTGAAACATGTCCTTCAAAAGTATGTACAAAGTACATGCCAAGGGATTTTTTTGTTTGAACAAATTATAGCTTTAGTATTTTATCCTGTAACAATAGCATTCTTGCAGAACTGCTAAGTGAAGCAATTCATCAAAGACATACAGGGAATTTAAATTATTCCTGACTCAGTTTCTCAAAAATATATTTAGAATAAAGAGAAGTATGATACAAAATGTTTAAGAAAGTACGATAGCAACAAAAAAATAAAACATCACTTAATAAGCTACTGACATTTTATTGGCACAAATTATTAATAATATTAGCTTTTTAACTCGAAATGTTTGCTGCTGTCAGACAGATACAGTGCACTTAACCTTTACTGTACAAACCGTGCTAAATGACATATATGAATTAAATGAGAGCAGTCTTTTGGCATCTTGTCCGTATATTTCAATCAAGCGGATTTACTAGATTATTAGTAGCTTCTTTTCCAATTATAACATTCTTTGATTCTAAGAATAAAATAATGCTTTTATCTAGAAACTGATGCAGACATATAAAATTAATAGCTAGCAAGAAGGAAAGAGCCAGCACATCTTTCATGAAATACATATGAGTCAAGCATCCCAAGAAGGTAGCATCAAATACAGGAAGCCAGGCTTCTTGTTTTCATTTCATTGTACTTCTACTAATGCATATACTATCGGGGTTAAGATTGGGGCCATAATTTGCAGTGTTGCATTTAATAGTCTTAGGAGCTTCATAGTCACCTCAGATGATAACAGGTTGGTAGAAAACTGCCAATATCCAAGAGTTTGAAGTAGTGCAGAAAAGAAGTGTATATTACAACTCCAGAGGCACCATTCACCTCCTGTTTTACTTGGGGGCTATATTGTATTCTTATAATAAAGTATGGATAATGCTCCTTAAGTTGTACACATCTTGGCCCTAGGAGCAAACATCTTTTTAATTTTTTCCAGAATGAAGAGGGTTTACTGTGTACTTGCTATTGACCAGCCCTAATGTCCAAGCTGTTCGCCTTGATAATGTATTGCTCTTAAGAGAAGTCTATAATTATAGATGTATGTGGATCAAGTAAGAAAGGTGCTAGGTCAAGATGGCATGCCCATTCTGCTTCCTAATGAATGTCTCATATCTTTCTTTAAACTTTGTAGCCTTGTTTTGAATTCTCTTCCATTGCAATGCAAAATAAATTAATACATTAGCTTTATGTTGCTGTGACAAAAATGCCTGAGATAAACATCACATAAGGAAGAAAGGTTTATTTTGGCATATAGTTCCAGGCCATGGTTGTTTGACTGTTTTGCTTTGGGCCTGTGGCCAGGCAGTACATCATGTTGGGAATTCATGGCTAGAGGAGCTACTTACTTCGTTGTGGCCAGAATTAAAGAAGAGGCCAGGGTCCCAATATCCCCTTCAAGGACAAACCCCCTGTAATCTGATATCCTTCCACTGGGTCTCACCTCCTAAAGGTTCCATCCATCACCTCCCATTAGCACCACAGGCTAGTAACCAAGTGTTTAATACATACAACACTTATTTTTAGCAAAGTGTTTAAACTTGAATGATGATGCAGCAACTTTTTTAAAAGAAGTGAAGAGTATTCTAGACTGAGATCTATAAAAAGACTTCCTTCTTTCAGGACCAGAAAAATAAAGGCACAAATGTGCTCAGTTGCAAGGAATTCCAAAGTTAAAAGTAATTTAATCCTCAAGGATACTGACTCCAGGAAGTTCTAGTAGGGTGTTTAATTCATCTCTTTCCCAGCATACTCCACTTAGTATCATGACTTTAAAAATTCTTGTAATTGAAAAAAACAGGTTCACAACTTAGATCTCTGTGTCAAAGAAAGAAAAGTAGCCATGAAAATCTTCTCCTTCTTTAACCATTCCTTTAGTAATGGAAGATTTTCCAAGTCATATAAGTACAAAATCTTAAATGAGCCACTTAGAATTTCTCTTTTAAGGATGCAGCTTAGTATTCAGTTGCTACGGACCCACAAGGTTTTATTAAATAAATGTAACGAAAGGTTTATGATCATGACAAAGTAGAAAATTATGCCATAAATCAAATTTTCACTTTTAAATGATAGCAAATTAAATATGTAAGTATTGCCAGCTAAGATTCACAAAAGATGCTCCCATAAAATATTTATGTAAAATGTGGACCCATTTTACCTATTAATTGTATTTAAGGTTTAATTTCAGATTATAAGATTTGTCTGTAGAGGGGACATATGTGTTCTGGTTTCCTTAGCAATTTACATGGCATTACAGTATTATGTCTTGAAATTGTCCAAATAAAATAAAATTCATTTATCTATCCAACATTAATAGTCTCTGCTCTCCTCTTACCAGTCCTTGCAAAACGGTGTTCCAACATTGCCATACTTTTGCCATCACCATATCAGCTTCCTTCTTTAAATATGCTGTCCTTTTAAATTCTGCGTTTAATTCAACAGGCTCGATTTGCTTTATTTATATCATCAAGCATGCTTTTCCTCACTTAACATTTTTATTCGCTATATTTTAGTAAGCCCTGTATTTCCTTTTAAAGTCATTGTAATCTTAAACTGGCAGAGGCCACTATGGGAAGGGGACCAGGAAGCGGTGAAGAGGTCTGTTAGAGATGAACCAATGTGGATTGCAATATACAAGTACATGGAAGCAATGCTAGGAATCTCTGTATAGTTATCTTTATCTCAAACTAGCAAAAATGCTATGTTTTTCTTACTGCCTCTTATGTTTTCTCTTCAACAAAATCAGAGAACAAGGACGGGAGGTGTGGCCCAAGTGTTAAGAGTACCTGCTTTGGAAGCACAAAACCCTGAGTTCAAACCCCAGTCCCACTGAAAAAAAAAAATCAGAGAAGAGAGCAGAACAGGTTCTGCCCGGAAACTGGGGGCAGAGGTGGAGCACAAACAGTGTATACACATATAAGTAAATGTAAAAATGATTAAATAAAAGGTGCCCCAGACTCAGGCCTCTTTCTGGAGAAAAAAAAAATATAATTAAAAAAAAAAGAAAAAAACATTATTTTAGAAGACTTCTTTTGATTAAGCTAGTATTTTCAATAGTGTCCTTTGACAGGTCATTATTGCTTCTTTCCTTTTTTTTTTTCTTCTAAAATAATATGGTAACTGATTACCAAAGAACAGTTTAACATCACTCCAGATTCTGCTAACAGGGATGACTTAGATATCCTAAAAAGGAAGAACGGGTCAGAAATCCCTTATGCTATATGCAGTTTGCAGTGTTATATAATACCATCCCCAAAACCCACAAGAGTAAATACTATGTGAACATTTAAGCAGATGCATTATCTGCGATGGCATGCAATAAAAATAAAATAATGAAATTTGGAGTGTTAAGTTTCTTATTTCCACATTTTAGGATAAATAGCTGTCAGTAGTTTGAGGTGACTAATTTAAAAGATTCATGAAAAACTGCATTAGTCTAATTATTGTTATTAGCCCACTGTTCATTCAAAGTCTACCACATCTAATTGGGCTTCAGAAATCCATTTCTCAAAGTTGGACTTCATTTTGTGTATTAATACCAAAAACTAAAGCCATGTTGTGATAACTAAGAAATAACACAATCTGTACTTGTTAATTATGACTACTGCTGCAGTAGAGCTGAGCACTTTAAATCTGTGGAGATTGGAGGATTTGGGGAAGGTATGAAGCAGTGATGTGCTGAGGTCTATTTGTCTTTGGAAAAAACATACAATCCGTGTGTCTTTACAGGAGAGGAGCTATGCTCAGGCCTGAAGCGAGGCTGTACCTTGGACTGTCCCTATGGCTTCCTAACTGATGCGCATAACTGTGAGATCTGTCAGTGCCGCTCACGGCCCAAGAAATGCAGACCCATCATCTGTGACAAATATTGTCCACTCGGATACCTGTATGTATTTCTTAATTCAGAGAACTTATGATTAAGTGTAACATGTTGAAATGTTCATACACATTCTGTTGGCTGTTTGTGTCTTTGTGAATATGTCAGTGATGTTCTGAGTCCAGAATATCCATCCTGGTTTTTTGCTAGGTGATTCAGAAAGCAGGGAAAGGATTGTGTCCAAAGATAAGAATCACGTTTTGTTTACTCTTTTGTGGAGATGGGCCAGATATACCCTTGGAGTTTCCTTGGAGATGAGGCCCATGACTTATATTTTTAAGTATTCTTTATTCAGTCAAACCCTACAAGAATCTAGATTATTCCATGGAGGAAATAAACACTTCACATTCATTTTTGTAGTCTATATTAGCTTTTAATTTAGTCTTTATAGCAAGATGATCCCTGAGAAAAATCACCTTTCAGAATCTTGCATTATTCCCTTTGCTCTCTTCCATTTCAGTCTCCCTGCTTTTCTCATTTGATACATTTGTATCAAGTTATAAGGGACTTAGATTCATATCGTTTGCCCATCTTCTTTCAGTCATCTATTTTATTCTTCCTTTGGAAAGTTCAACATTGAGGAATGGATCTTAAGTCTCATTTTAATTAGATAATTAAGTTGGGAACATTATTTTTAAAAATTTCAAGCATATCTTCATTATTCTTAATCCTGCAATATGAGTATGATACCAATAGATGGATGTATAGCTGTTTCATCTGTTAACTGCTAATGTAAAATAATGCAACATTATCACCATATGATCTACTGATAATGCTATATTCTTTTTAAACTAGACCTAATGAGGTAAATACTGGACATTGAGCAAAGGACCTCTGAAGACTTACTCTTTATCAGTGTTTTTGTAGCCTTCCCAGGTCTAAGGGTCCTTAAGTGCTCCTGTTTTCTATAAGTGTCAGTAGACATTAAAATTATTACAGGTGTCTGAAATCACTGAGAATATAGTTTTCTGAGGAAGCCTGCAGCCCTAAAAAAAGAAAGACGTTTGTTCCTAATGCTAATATCCAACACTACCAATGATACATCATCCTTCACCTTCCTATTCATAGAGTTGTACGTTCATCTTTTATATTGTGGCACCACTTTTCCTAATTAAATCAGTGTTCACATCTTAGGAATTCTAACAGCTATATCCCAGAAGCACAGAAGTGCTTGGACAATTCTAAACCTTGGTTGTGGGTGGGTAGTGGTCATCAGTACAGGTAGCTAATTACACATCACCCCAGGAGGTTTGAGAGCAAAAGTCAAGTCATTCTGCTTAAATGGTAGTATCATTACATTGACCCTTAGTTTGAGTGCTTGTGCATCATTTGAGACTTTCTGATATTCTGACCTATGGCAAAATTTTAATTACCCAGGAAGAATAAGCACGGCTGTGACATCTGTCGCTGTAAGAAATGCCCAGAGCTCCCATGCAGTAAAATCTGCACCTTGGGCTTCCAGAAAGACAGTCATGGCTGTTTTATTTGCAAGTGCAGAGGTAAGTGTAAGCTTGCAGCCCTTTCCCTTTATAGGAGCCAGGGGAACAGACACAAAGAACAGAGAAACATCCAATAAGTGAAAGGGTTTAAGTGAGTGCTGCCTGCTCTGACACGAATGTTGCTCTCTAGGACCCTCCCACAGGACTCCTTTTTACTTTCATCTTAATGGAATAAAAGGTCTCAACACAAAATTGAAAGCAAGCATATGATGGATAAGCACATTGACCAGATTAATCATTTCTTAGCTCTTCACTTTTACTTGTCTTTGGAACTTTAGCCTAACGCCAAAGTTTATTTCAGCCTCCATAAAAAGGATACCACTCTGCTCAAGAATGGCACTGGCACAACTGAAAATGTGGAGAGCCTCATTTTGGAGCCCTTGAGTGTAGTGTAACTAAAAGTCTGCTCCTCTGTTTTCTGGGAAAAGCTTTCCATGGGAATTTAGGCTTGGGCTGAGAAGCACATGCCAACCTAGAACTGTATATGAGCACAAATCCTGGGCATCCCCACTGCCTGAGACTTCCTGCATTAAACAATAAAAGATCCCTAAGTTATAGTCAGTTTTTTCAGAGTTGGACAGTTAACCAATTCAGTGGTGTTTTGAAGGGGTCAGAGAATGAACAAAAATCTCAGTTGCTTCAGTAAATCTATTAGTTGTAAAAGACCCAGGATTTCTCCATTGGATGAAACTTCTAAAGTGACAAGAATAAAAAGAATAAAAATCAGCAACAATTCCACCAATAGGAGAGAAACATATTTGTAGATTTTTTTTTTCTGTTGTCTTTTTTCAAAATTGAGAGCCTTTTGGTTTAAATTATTTTCCTGAGCATTTCTCATGTCACCAACTGTCCTTCATAGACATAGTTTTTGATGGCTGTGCTCCATTCCATGTAAGGACACTACAGGCTGTTTCTCCTGTACTATAGCTGCTTCTTTACCAGGCTGCCTTCTGTCTGTCCAGAGGTCCCTGCTTCAGCTGGGCCACCTGTCCTGTCAGGCACATGTCTGTCCATGGATGGCCATCATCATAAAAATGAGGAAAGCTGGCATGATGGGTGCCGGGAATGCTACTGTCACAATGGACGGGAAATGTGTGCCCTGATCACCTGCCCGGTACCTGCCTGTGGCAACCCCACCATTCATCCTGGACAGTGCTGCCCGTCATGTGCAGGTAAAATCTGGCTGCTCTCTGTGTACTTGAAATGCATAAGACTTCTCCCTTGGGACCTTGTACATACCTGTGACTCTGGGGGAAATGCAGTGTTAATCCTGAGACACTTTTCAGCCCTCTGTGGCTTCTATTAACAACAGCTACAGAATCAGCCAGGTATTATAAATGATTAGCCTAGGACCAGAGAAAATTCTAAAACTCTAAAAACTGTTCTCCTTATTTTTTTAATGGTTTGCTCAGTTATATTGATTGATCTTTGAACAGCTTTTCTATTAAGGTTGTGGGTTTGTATACTTAAATCCAGCTCTTCATTTTACAGATAGGATATTATAGTTTATTGCCTTAGTTAATTTAAGGTGATTGGTGCTAGTTTTATAAAAGCTTATCACTTATCAAGTAATACTTGAGAGGGAGAGAATTATTGAGGTCTGTGGCTATTGCTTTCTTTTTAAATTAATGGACATGTGGCACTGTTGCCAAATGAGAAATTTAGAATAGCTACAAATCCAAAACATTTAAAGTTATAATAACAGTAATCAAGATAAGTTACTAAAAGAAGAGATTTTTAATTCATGACAGTCTGAATTATAGCTGTCAATAATAAATTATTACCATAAAACCTCATTTAATGCCTTTAGCTAAGAACCTCAACACAGTTCTGTTTCTACCATTTCTCCTCTAGCAGGCTACTTTGAGGAAGTATACAGGAAGAATACACTTACTCAGTGTTTCATTTAGAAAACAGAGATGAAAGACTAACCCTCCTATGCAAAGTAAAATAGTTAGAAGACCAGGGAGAAGCAGAGTCTCCTGATTCTAACATCAGATTTCTCTTAATGTTTAAACTGTCGTATTTTGGAGCCATGCTTATTTTTCCTCTGGTCCATCTTTGTCCTGTCTTTATGGATGACTCTATCTATGCAAAGGATGTAGTCAGGAGCCTGAGGCCTGGTCCTTTTGCAGTAAGGCAGGACTGGAGGGTCAGGTGGCTTATGCTAGCCAGACTGCACCTGTGTTGCCTCCCCTGGCACAGAACAGGTTCTGCATACCTCAGTAATTGTGAAGTCCAACTGACAGGCAGCTCCAATATCTCTGTAGAGGACAGATTACAGTGCAGAATAAACAGCTAGTTTTGTTTCGCCAAAGTTGTTAGATGTACTCTGTATCAAAACTCTTCTCCTTCACATATTTTGCTAGTTTATTGTGAAAACCACAGTGTCCAGAGGATCAGAAGGTAAATATGCATGATAGTAAAATAGAAGTCTGTATGGACTCTTTTGAGGATAGGAAGATCATTTCTTCCAATAGGACTTACACTTCGATTACAAATTTGCATGTGTAGAGTAGAGTTCTGCACTTGCTCTTTGTTAACACCATGCTCAGTGAGGAAGTCTGAGTCAGGCAGGTGAAAATGCACAGACTTGTCTCAGAACAGATAATTGACCTAAGAACTGAAAGTCAGTGGGCTCAGAAGGATATTTGCTAGAAAGATACAGAAAGTTCTTTTATATGTATTTATTGATATATTATTGTGGCTTTTGGGATATATGTATACAAAAACACATAGATATGTAGAGTGACTTTTTTTCCAAAATCTTTGGTGGATTGCCACATGTGAGTTCTTCTGACTTGAGACCCTAGAGCCATTCATTCTACTTTAAAGAATATTTTCTGCCCAACCCAGGATGAATGAGCAGCCCCTAAACTCTTCTAGTAGAATAGTCAACAAATGATGGTGTATCTCATCTTTTTGATCCTTTTCCTTTTTCTTTCCTCTCCTTCTCAGCCCCTCTCATGTTGTACCTTGAGGCACATAGTAGAACAAAGGGATTAGAGAGATAAGACCCCTGCAGACACATAGGACCTTCTACATGTCAGGACCACCCCCCTACACGCCAGCATTTAAAGCGTAGAAATTATCAGTCCTCTCTGTAAGCCTTTTTTGAATGCAAAAAGGCAGTCTTTTTCGAACATTAGTTTATTGATAGTCCTTGGGACAATTTTTTCTTTCTCTATAATGGCTAAGAAATATACTTAAAGCATCTTGTCCCAGCTCAGTTTTCATTCCAATTACATTTTTCTCTGCCATTCATATACTGAAAATTTGGTAAGGTTGCTTGTGAATATAAGCATTGACTAATGGCAGTTTTCTGGGACATGCCCACTTGGTCAAAATTCCATTCTTCCTAGTTTTCTTGATACAAAGCTGTCCAGAAAGTTTCCTCCTTAACTGGAGGTTGGCCCACAACACTTTATCCCATCAGTATTGGTGACCTGTTGCTTTGAAAGTCACAGCCCTGGCAGTCTTAGGCAATTTCAGCTCTGAGCACCTCTATACAAACAAGGTAGTTCTCATGGGGCCTGACATCCAGTGAGCTCCAGGCCTGAGCTAGCCATGATGTCTCCAGTCTATTTCTCAGCAGGATTCAGCACTGTCAGCACCTCCTTGAAGTGCTTGTTGTGTTTGGACTATAGAAATATGGTTAATGTGTTCATACTTCTCATTTCCTCAGCACAACTTGAGGGCAACTCCCAGTATTTCTCCAGACATTTCAACATTAAATTCTCTCTCTATCATTATCATCTCACCAAGAGACCAAAACCACCTGTCCTCTGGGGAAAGAAATCATAGTTATCATCAGCCTCTCAGCATTTCCCTCTCTGGATGATGATATCACCCAACAAATGTTTAGTCTCAGGTGAGAATTTTCAGACTGTTGATTCCATTGGAGCATTCCTAGTCTGTGTGCTGGCAGCCTGCTGAGATGAGATATGGCCTGTTGACAGTAGACAGTATTTCCAAGCATAAAAGTGCTCAGGTCCCAGAGACAAATGAAGTGGACAGGTTGTGCATCATTTGAAAGTTCTGTTTAATCTAGACCACACCCATTATCTAGTCCACTATAGTCTTAGGTTCCAGTTCCTTGACTGTGCTTAATACTCTGAGCTCACAGTTTTCTCATATGTAAAATAGGATGACATTACTTTCCTCACAAAGTCAGTGTAAGGAATAAATAAAATGAGTAAGTTGAAAGTACTTAGTAATTGGACCACAGCAAGTACTCAGCAAGTGAGACATCTTTATTCTAGACAACTCTTTCACATTCTCAGGGGTGCTTGAGCATCCCTGTAATTTAATTCTTACTGAATTCACTCATGACTTGACAGGTTCGAGCCACTTGAACCTTGCTTCCTGAAATTAACTCTTCAAATACTGTTCTGCATTTCTATGCATGGAATATTTTTCTTCTCTTCATTATTCTCTTGATAAGAATAGGGTGAGATACTCTTCAGACAATTTGGGTTTTCTCTCCCCTGAAGCATAAAGCACCAGGTGTTTCAGGAGTTGGAAGATTGTAAATGAATAATGTCTTGCATTTTGATTTTATGTCATTTCCAAGATGACTTTGTGGTGCAGAAACCAGAGCTCAGCACTCCTTCCATCTGCCATGCTCCTGGAGGAGAGTACTTTGTAGAAGGAGAAACATGGAACATCGACTCCTGTACTCAGTGCACCTGCCACAGTGGCCGGGTACTATGTGAGACAGAAGTGTGCCCACCACTGCTCTGCCAGAACCCTTCACGCACCCAAGACTCTTGCTGCCCACAGTGTACAGGTAACCAGCATGGTGCCACTGGGCACACTTGGTGGAAAAGGACACAGCTCTAGGCATTGCCATTCTGCAGGACCATCAGGTTGGGATGAGCCTCACGTGAGAGTATGCCAAACCTAAAAACCCAAGAAGGAACATCTAGCAGCTTGCTTCCTAAATTCATTCTTTTCTATTGACCACTTATTTATGCAGTCCATATTCCTGGCACCTGAGGTGAATTTTAAAACAAAGGAGATTGCCATTTTCCCCCTTAATCCCACATCTCAGACTCAAGGGATATACCTTAATAGAAAGAGTTTCTCTGCACCAAATTACTCCAGATGATTTTGCTAATGTTAAAATTTAACAAATGCAAAGAATAATATTAATGAGTAATATAAATAAAATTTTTTGGAAAATAAGACCTGTGACTGCATAAGTGTATAAGTATTTTTTTTTTTAATTTCTCAGACCTTAGCAGGTAAATTTATGGTTAGGAAAGACATAGTTATAGAAACTTGTCAGAATTTTAAACATGAGTTCCTGGTTTATAAACTAAAATAGAAATTCTAGTTAATAGTAAGAACGTATGACTTTTTCCAAAGATACTTTTTGGATACATAAAATTGCCAACTTGGCAGACAATAATTTTGATATTGCTTAATCTCTTCAGTAACCACTTATTGATTCAATAAGTGAATCAATAACTACTTACCTTCTTAACATATATTCCATATATTCTTTTTTCTTTTTTTTTTTTTTTTGTTTGTTTGTTTGTTTTTTGGTGGGGCTGGGATTTGAACTTAGGGTTTTGCATTTGCAAAGCAGGTGCTCTACTGCATGAGCCACACCTTCACACCTCTAGTCTATTTTGCCCTGATTACTTTGGAGATGGGGTGTCACAAACTGTGCTCAGGCTGGCCTTGAACCATGTTCCTCCCGATCTCAGCCTCCCAAGTAGCTAGGATTACAGGTGTGAGCCACCGGCACCACAGAACATAAATTCTTAAAAAATTTTTGCTCAGTAAAAAAATGCTCGTTTTATTACTTTTTTTTTCCTATATTGAATTATCTAGTCAGCTGTCCAGAATCTTACTCTCTTATTAACGCCCAGCATACTTAGTGTCAAGTCCTCTTGGATTCATGTTGATGGTAGGTTCTGAATCGCATCAGATGAACATTATTTGCTATTGCCATTGTACATTGCAGACAAGATGTTACCATCTTAGTACAAAATCTTTGGTGTAATTAGCAGCCATGTTAAACTGACAAGCTTAATTAGTGAAGCATCATTTCTACCATAAGAAATAGTTCCTATGTATTAGGTTTTTAGGATATGTGTGACCTATTTCCACCACACTTTTTTTTTTTTTTTTTTTTTTATAATTATCACTGTTCTACCCAAATCCAAACCTGCTGATGCTAAAGAGCCTTGACTGTTCATATCCTCCTGGTAGCAACCATTCGAATAGACTGTTCATGGGTTACAGTGAGCTTATATCCACTTAGTTATTCATCTTACAGATATCTGTGCAATGCTTGAATTGACCCCTTAGGATCCTGAGGTTAATAAAAAGAAACAACTCTTGTCCTATGGAGCAAACACCCCAGTGTTCCACATGAAATAAATAATGCTAGAGTGAGAGGAATACTTAAGGAGAATTTAAGAGTGCATACATCCCAGGAAGCTTTGACAAAAGAAAGAAGAGCCCTTGGTGCCATTTGGACTAGGATCTGAGTAGACAGAGGATTGATTGTAGGAAGGCCATTTTCCAAGACCATTAGCCCAGATTCATTGAAGATGGGATAACTAACTAGATAGACTGAGAGGTTCAGCCCCAGAAGAGAACTTGGTGGAGATGGGCCTTCTGAAAATGTTAGGTGGGATTAGGCAGGGTGCCTCAAAATAAGAGCATGTGTGAGCAGAGCCTACAGGTTCCTGCCAAGCAAGGCGTCACTTTCTGCATTCCTTTCTGTAGACCCAAACAAGCACCCCATGGTGTGCCTAGCTTTAACTTCTCATTTGCAGGCCTGGGTGCCTGTTTTTTTCTTTCCATGTAACTTGAGAAGTACTTCAATGTTATCATTCATCTTAAACTTTAGAACTTTTGTTTTTATGTATTAGTACTCTAAACATTACTCTTAGATCTGTAAATAAGAACATACCCAGAATAATACATATTTTAAAGTGAGCTACCCACCCCATAATGGATCTTTCTTGACTTTCCATTCATAACTATATTGCAGCAATAAAAAGTCTTACAGCTCAAAACATCAATTTTTTCACATTACAATAAATTTCAAGAATAGCATTGATAAGTGCTATGTTACATATCTAGGAAAATACTGCCTCTAATCTTAGGTTACTACATTCTAAAATTGTCTGAAAATGATACACTTGTACCCAAGAAGAGCTGTGTCCTACATGGTGATTCTATCTCTAAGATACATTGTTTCCTTTGTCCTTCCACTGGCCTAGTTTACATTTTAGGCCTTGCAGGGAAATGGTTTGTGAGGAAAGATTGAGCATGCAGATATGCTATTTCTCTAAAGTAAAAATGAGAGGAGTAGGTTGCATTTGTTTCTTTTTCTATCTTTGATACTTCTTTTGTTCTTTATTTTGTAAGGTTGGGAAAAAGCATAGCCTAGAAAAGATAGGGAGGTACAAAAGAAATAAAAAGAATGAATGACTGATGGTCACCTAAAAACATGGGTAAAAATAAAACAAAGGAGTAAATATTTAAAGAAGAAGCAAAACTCTCTGGGCAGGAAAAATTAGAAGAAAGACCCAAAGAAGGAAGACACTAGGAGCAAAGTTCCAAGTGGTATGGGGTTTGGTTAGGACTCTCCTGCCTAGAGGAAGAAGACTGCTACTGTGCTTGCTTCCCAGCTTTAACTCTTCACTGGTCACTGCCAGCACTTGAAGATGTCCTTTGGAGTCTTTTCTGGACCTCAAAAAGAAGCTCTAGATTTGTTTCCTGTGTCATTTCATTGCTTCATTACTGCTGCCCTGCTTCCTCTTCTAATTTTTAGACACAAAGTTGGACATTGTTTGCAAGAGCTAAGCTAATGTAACTTGCAGAACCTTTGTGATTTTCAAGACCTAGTGTGGATAAACATGAATTGTCCTTATTTCCAGCCAAAGCAAACATTAGCAGTGGCTGATCTCTTAAAGAAGAAATTATCCCTAGGTATAGATAACCTCAAAAAGGTTTCTGAGAAAATAATCCCATCTTTCCATCTTTAACCTACTGAATGTGGGTGATATCTAAGGAACCATAAATGAAATAGGACCCAGAATGCATTGGGAACAATGACTGGTCTTTCATTGTGCCTCTACCTTCAAGAATGATAGGAAAGATGGTTATGGCTTAAAGGAGAGGGTTTGGTCCAATTCTGTTATGCTGGCCTTCAGAGGGTCAAGCAACTGCCTTGGTCCTCAAAGAGGCTCTTGTCAAATCAATATAATCTCTTGACTGGAGAGTATATTCATGAGGCAGATGGAACGTGTGACATTAAGATGTTCTGTATCATGTTTGTCTCAGTTATTTCTGTTTCATGCTGAAAATAGAGTTCATGAAGTTGATTCAGAGAGGAACATTTGATAACTCTTGACTGTGTATCCACTGAGACAATGTGGTTCTCTTAGGGATTTGCTTGGTATAACTGTCTTGGTGTTTTAAGACTCTTGAGTGGCAAGGGTTGTTGGAAGTACTTTCTCTCACTGGAGAGATTGTAACATTTCTAAAGTGGTAACCTCACTAACTTAGGTTTTTCTTTCTCAAATCTCAGTTGGATATCTGCTTGTGGTTACAGTTTTCATTAATTTCAATGGATACCAGAACCCAAGGAGAATTTGGGTTTTCTGGTGATGTTCTTTTCTGTTTCAAGTTGTAACCTGATCTGGTTACAACTTGACTCTTGTACAAGTCTTTCAATATTAAAAATGCAGATGACTCGCAGATGCTTTCTCTCGTTGCATCCTTATGTGTGATTTAGATTTCTTATCTTTCAGCCATTAATGTAAATGCCCGAACGTAGGTGTTTCTGATAGTCTAGTGCAATGAAAATGTATTTTGATATTAATTGGTTAGGATTTCATGTGGCTGTACGTCAGAAAACCTGGCTGCAATTTTTAAACAAACAGAGATTCATTTTACTTACTTTATAAGAAGTTTGGGGATAGATACGTATCTACATTGCTTCTGTCCCTCAATGATGAAGAGGCCTTTCTTATACAAGTATGATAAGGATATAATAGCTACATGTTCAAGGCAGCTTCCTTGAACTCTAACAGATGTGGGTAGTAATGCATCACCCTCTGGAGAAAGTTGAAAGCTTTTCTAGAAATACCCTCCTGAGCTACAGCTAAGTGAGGTGGCCTCTCAGTTATGAGACACTTGGAAGGCACAGAACAGTATTTCCCTGATTGCCTTGCACCCATTTTGATCCAAATCCTGATACTACTCCAAAGAAAATCAAGACTTTAAGCAGATGCTATATAAGCAACTAACAGAATCTTGGTTTCAGGTTTGTTTTTTGTTTGTTTGTTTTTATCTTTATTATCCTGCTTTAAAATTCAAGACCCTGCCTGATTCAGACTTCTTTTAAGGAGACACCCAGAATGTTAGTGACTAGGAGTGCTTTTATAAGTCTGGTGACAATGTGTTGCATAATTGGAGACCTGCAGCATCTTCTTTGCTGACCTGTATGTTCATTTTTCCAGATGAACCTCTTCAGCCTTCCTCATCCCATAATGACAGCGTGCCTAGTTACTGCAAAAATGATGAAGGGGATATATTCCTGGCAGCTGAGTCCTGGAAGCCTGACGTTTGTACCAGTTGTGTTTGCGTGGATAGCATAATTAGCTGTTACTCTGAGTCTTGCCCTTCTGTATCCTGTGAAAGACCCGTTTTGAGAAAAGGCCAATGTTGTCCCTACTGCCTAGGTAAGACCAAGAAAAAAATGTTTTTTTCATCTTTACCAGTGGTCAGTACGTTGATATTGATAGCCAATTGTTTTTTTCTGGTTGACATGCCACAGAGAACCAATGTAGGAATATCAGCAAAGGAAAAGATGGGGAAGATGTGCTCCCATGTAGAATGTGTTAAGAATAAAAAAAAAAAAGTTCTCTGTCATGTTCCATTGAGATCCTTTGCTGGTTTAGGATTTTCAGTATCAGAACTCTCTTTGTCTACTCAGTTATTTTCAGGGGTCTCAATAACCTGTTGCTGTCTTGAGATCAGTTAAATCTGGAATATTAATCTCCCCATTTCTCCTGTCTTATGGCACTTGATTGATTTTATTTAAGCCACATCATTATCCATATTGATGGCCTAGCCCCACAGAGTGAGGCCTGAGTAAGTGACAGAGCCCTCTCCTTCCTATGACCCATGGTGATACAATTTGTGAGCAGAGGACTTACCTATATTAGCCGCTAACATCCATACAAAAATGGTCCTGTGGACAAAGCCAGATGCTGTTTCAAGGACCAGAAGGCGAGGCTGAGACAGCTGTCAACTCTAATCAAGGACAGTCCCTGCTCCCAAGGCTCTCATCTTGTTACTGCTTTTGCATCCAGTAAAGCTAATAAAGTCAAATGAAAGATAAGACACATCTCAATCCAACAGGAACTCATGATCAAAGCAGCAAATGAAAAATTATGCCACTTGTATTAATTGCGGGGTATTGTGCATTTATTGTTGGAGATTTTGCATGCATTCTAGACATAAGTCATTGCAAATATTTGGAATGACACCTAGAGAAAAGAGAGATCTTATGGCCGAGTCTTATGGCAGCTTATAAACACTAGTCTCAGGAATTTTATAGAGCTAGATTTTATCAATGTAATAAGCAAAGAGTGTATGTTTTAGAAGCTGGGTTCTCTCCTTTAGCAACCATCTATATAATTATTTTTCAAATCTTGATGCCTTTAGAAGTGAAATGGAGGCTTTTAATAATTATGATAGGACAGCAGCCACAGACCAGGAGTGTCTATAGAAATCAGGACATATGGCAGCTCTTAGTGACTGGGACACTTGGCTTTTCTGTACTACTCATAAACATTGTAGCTCCTAAACAAAGCCAAAAATATATCACGGCATACATCCAACTTAGTGCTACATAGTTTTTCAAAGGTCTGACCAAAATTTACACAAGAAATGGCACTGCCTGTGGTATCTGTGGTATCTAAATGTAAAATGTAACGAAGCTACTATTTCAGGTTGTAGGAAGAAAAAAGTATAGCTAATATCACTGTATTTACATATAAGGACTAGAATAACAATTCATAAATCAACCAGGAGTGCTTGGCTCATCTTTACAAAGCCAGGACCCCTGAAGGCCTGAAAATCCCACATTACTATCTAAGGGAAAGTCTAACAACAGCTCGCTTTTTTTTTTTTTATTGTTTTATTATTCATATGTGCATACAAGGCTTGGGTCATTTCTCCCCCCTGCCCCCACCCCCTCCGTTACCACCCACTCCTCCCCCTCCTTCTGCCCCCCCACCCCCTCAATACCCAGCAGAAACTATTTTGCCCTTATCTCTAATTTTGTTGAAGAGAGAGTATAAGCAATAATAGGAAGGAACAAGTGTTCCTGGTTGAGATAAGGGTAGCTATACAGGGAGTTAACTCACATTAATTTCCTGTGCATGTGTTACCTTCTAGGTTAATTCTTTTTGATCTCACCTTTTCTCTAGTTCCTGATCCCCTTTTCCTATTGGCCTCAGTTGCTTTTAAGGTATCTGCTTTAGTTTCTCTGCGTTAAGGGCAACAAATGCTAGCTAATATTTTAGGTGTCTTACCTATCCTCACCCCTCCCTTGTGTGTTCTCGCTTTTATCATGTGCTCAAAGTCCAATCCCCTTGTTGTGTTTGCCCTTGATCTAATGTCCACATATAACAACAGCTCTCTTATGTTGAAAATTCTCAGTCTGTTTAGCTAAAAGTTCCTATTGTGTTTTACTGCTTAATTGGGAAATTTGTAATTAGTTAATAACTGAGGTAGTAAATTTGTTTCTGTATGATAACAGTAAATCTCTTCTGACAAAACCAAATTCAAAGTTGTGGAAAGAAACCTGGAAATCACAGTATTCTCTTCGTTTTTTTCCCTTCATACTTTAAGCTTCTGGATCATTTAGACTATACATTCTTCTTTAGTCTCTAGAAAAAAGAACAGTTTGACCAGAATTTGTAATTTTTAACTTAGATTGCAAGCAGTTTCACTAAATTGTGGTTTATGTAGGCTTATAGTGGTATAATGGAACTTTTGTTTATATTCTGGCTCCCTCATTAACTGACCCCCTCCCATACCCTCCCATTGGTGCTTGTGTGATTATATTCTATTAATCTGTGAATTATCTTCAGGGACCATGATCTCCAGGAGATTCAGTATTTGCTAAGCAGCAACTATGTGCTGTATTCACTCACTCACCTCAGTGCTCCATCTGTGTTGTTATATTATTGGAATAGTCATTAAGCCTCTTATGTCTATGTCATGCTTATTTTCTAAGTCTAGAAAATAGTTCTAAGGATGGACCTGCTAAGAGTCCATCCTTTCTCATGTAGCCCTGCTATGTGCAAAGGGTAGAAGTTCATTTCATGACTGTGACTTAAAGTTTCCTGTCCGACTCTCCAGTTTGTTTTGAGGTTTGTTCTCTTACCAGCTAAGAGGTCCTAACTTCCCATCAGCCTGCTTGCATTGTGTGCTATTTCAGGCTTTCTCAGTTTCAGCTCAGCTTGTTCTCAGGACCACGGGCACCTCACTGTGGCCTACACAGATCACCTCACACCAGCCTGTGGTGCTGACCTCACCATGGCTTTAGCTCCCTCCCCAGGTGAATGTGCTCCCTAATTTTACTCAGTCAGAGCTTTTACAACCTCACACTTGCCATGAAACTGTTCAACTGACCTCTTTTTTGTAGTCAAAACCCAAAAGTTTGCTTTTACTTCATGAAGTATCCTTTTTTTCCTTACCACAGAGAAATGAAAAGCAATGATACTACTAAAAAGTAGTCTTTTAATTACCAGTATTTGTATTCCTTTCAGCTAAATTATCAAGTCACTAATGTGCAGTGATAATGCTTCTGCTTTGATGTGTGAAGGCCTCATATTATGTGTGCTAATTTAATAGGATGTGTAATACAGACATAATTAATAGGATTGATGATTAATTTTGAAAAGTGAACAGCTTTGTCTAATTGCTTATAATACCCATCATTAGGGAATTCATCCTTCTACTAGAGAGAAAGTAAGTAGTAATTACCAATCATTTTAATGGGGCATCTTAATTGATTTTCTAATTTTTTGTATTCTGGCTTCCTACAGAAATACAAATTTTGATTTAAGTATTTTCATAGGCTTTTTGATGGTAAAGGTGACTTGAGTTTGAGTCAAGTAGAGAAAAGGTCTGGTGGCTGTTCTAATTCATGATGGCAGATGTGATGTGGTTCCTTCTAAACAGCAGATCTCCCCATGATGATGTGCTTCAGGATGAGACAGGGATGTATAAAGCATTCCCTCAGCTGTGTCGCCAGCGTCATGCCGCATACCTCTCTTTCTTTCCAGAGCAAAAGTTGTTTCAGTGCTTGAAAGAGGTCTTTATTCCATGATTCCCCAGAGGATGGCAAACAAGGAAAGCAACAGACATCATACTCCCACATCACTGTGCCTTGGGGATGGGATGCACATCCACCCACACTGAGGATCAGGCTATAGCATCTTGGGCAAGAAGCGTAGAGCATTCCCATGAAACCTTCTGTGTCAAGGGCTTGGTCATTCCTCATCAAATATTACATAGAAAGGGCACTACTTTGGTCATAAGACCTTTCTTACTCCGATTTATGGGATCTTCAGGTCCACACTACTGCTGCATCAGACCTGCTGATTTTGGAAACCAAGTTGCTCAGGTGTGCCTCTAATCTAGGTGTGCCCCCGTCTAAGAGAAGACCAATATTGAGTAATAGTTTTGTGCTAAGTCAGAAGTGTTACTCAGTACATAGAGTATTACCTTGAAATTTATGATTTGGCAAGGATTTATTTGTAACTCTAGGCTATTTGAGAAGATATTTGAGGTCAGATATTTAGAATCGTATTTGTTGGCTAGAAATCCCTTAGAGTGTCTTTTTTACTTAAGAAGTTTTTGTCGAAAAAACTTAAGTTTTAAATTTAGAACTTAAAATGATAGTTATTTTGTTTGTTATGAAACAAGCATAAATATAAATGTATGTGGTTTATAACATAAATAACATGAATATGAACAAATTTAAGATATTCTGATTATATGACTTCAAGTTCTTTTTTTTTTTCAAGTTGTTTTTAGAATGCATTTTGCTATTATATGAAAATGAGCTCTGTGATAGATGGTTCATAAAAGTGATTTTCTTATAAGTACATCTATCTGATTAGGGGTTCTCAATTTTTTACATATACTATATAATAATATTTGAAGTACAGATTTCACAAGGAATCGGCTGACCTGGCTTGTGTTGGAACTGTGTTTCTTCCTAGCTGGTTGTGATGTTATAACTATATAGTGATCTTCAAAGAGCAAATGATGAAATAAGATTTCTCCCTAAAAAGGAAGAAGTTTATACTTTAAAGTCAGTCTAGTATTCCTTTTGCTTAGATCTCCATTTGTTTATGGCTAACTGTATCAAAACAGTATCTTCTTAGAGCTATATTATATCTGTATGTATTTATGTAAAGATATCTGTGTATATATATGTATATATATATACATCCACACACATCAAGAATCAAGTACAGTAAATATTTCATCATCTTTAAAATATTCAACTCATGGAGTTTAATGTTACACATTGCTAAACCAAAATGTTATGATATTGGAATACTGGAACACAGCTACTTCTCCAGTGTATTTCCTTAAAAATTAAAAACTTCTGCCATTGGAAAGAACTTACCTTGGAGCCAAAGGGTTATGCTCA